CCTATATACTGAAAATAGTTTGATCAAAATTACTTTAATTTAATTCATTTGCGGCCTTCATCTGTGCCAAATGAACTGAGTATATTCAGCCAATGTCACGTGCAATAAATAATTATCACTAAGAATAATGCATCAAGAAATAACACCGTAAAATTTGGCGCCAGCCAGATGAGACCTATTTCATAAAAAATCTTTTGTTTTAATATTTTTTTAGAATTATCAGCAGAAATATGTTCGAATAGATAGAATTGAAATATTTCTATAAAAACATTGTTATAGAAGTAAGATTAGTTTGTTGGCGGGTTAAGTACTTCGGCGCCAGTGTACCTAAACGACAAAAGAAATTCAGGTACTTGTCCCTTTGTCGCCCGGCAGACGACGTTTTTAAAATATTGTACAGATAATGAAACACTTAAAGTGAGTAGTTTAGGGCGAAACAAAAAAACTATTTTGACGAGAAAATTGATGACTAAGTAAAGAAAGTACCTATGAGAAGTATTATTTTTGTTCTAAATGACTTCAGTTTTGACCTGTGATATTTAATCAATATAAATAGATAGTAATTAATATGAATAATTTAAATACGTTAAAAATTATACTATTAATTGTACTATATAAGGGTAAACAAATCAGATATGAAATAATTTTATACGATTATAATATACTGGTATAAATTAAATTATTTATTATTATACTTATTGAATCGTTATATTTGCTTAATGGGCGCAAGCTCGACGTTATCATTCGTGATAAGAAAGTTGCCGCTATACAAACAATATTTATTTATTGGTCCTTTACGATAAGGTTCTGTACAAGTGAGAGCGGGTACAGACATGTTCGGGATTTTGATAGATGGCATTCATATCGGCTTAGTCATTGGATGTTTACTATTTATGTAAATATATTATAACTAGCTTTCCGCCCGCAGCTTCGCCAGCGTGGTGTTTGGTTATATCGCGTTTCCAAGAGAACCTTTCAAAAGTCTGGGATAAAAACTATCCTATGTTCTTTCTCAAGGTCAACTCTATCTCTGTACCAAATTTCATTAAAATCAGTTAGGTGGTTAATTAAACAGTGGTTTAGGCGTGAAAGCGTAACAGACAGACAGACAGAGTTGCTTTCGCATTTATAATAATTAATATTAGTAGGGATGAAAATAATGTCGCCTAATTGAACGGACCAAGAAAATACTATGTGTGATGTCTTTATGACGTGAAAATATTTTGGTTTTGGTTAAATACAAAAAGTTCATTATTATCTTAACAGTTAGGAGATTGTAATGATATGTAATCAACGATGGATAAACGTGATTTCAAGATATTTGTGTAAATTTTGACCTGAGTTAATATTCAATTAGTAATGAGTTCAGTATAGGTACTTCGTTATTCCTTTTCTTTGGTGCTAGATGTTTCTATACATTACTAAACTATATGTATGTAGATACTGCGGAGCACTTGTGAATAACTGGGATTATAAATAACTATTAAACTACACAGGCAATTGATGGGAACCGTAGTGAGCTTTACCGAGCGCCTTTTATTCATCCTCTCTAGTCTCTTCGTGTTCGATTGTAACGGGACATGTGATAACTGGACAAAAATATTCTATGAAATAAATCGCTGAAACCATTGTTTATATAGTAATGACAAAAATGATTTTTGAACTTATATGACAGAACTTTAAAAGAAAAACAGCTCTTTAGACAGATGAAATTACGTAACAATACTAAAACCGTTACATACTTAAGTGTAATACTAATAATATTACTGACTAGTAGATAAATAACTATATACATATGTAGATGTTTATTACGTCATGCGAAAAGACAAAACGTTGGCTAAAATTTCTTATGACTCAAATACGGCTGTGTTATATCAACATTGATTGACGTAGCCAAAACATACGAGCGCCATTGAGGCTACGGAAGGGAAATAATCAAATGATTATTGGTAAACATGTAGCCGATAAAATCAAATTTAAGGACATTTAACATATAAATATATGATACAAAACTAGTTCAGATTACATTCGTTGTATTCACATAGCTTTGTTTATGATTTTATTCAACTTTAACCAACCTTCATATTAAAATAGATATTGGCTGAGCTCTATAGCAATTTGAGCTGCAATTTGCGGATATTTAATTTTTTATCGTGTAAATTGTATCGTTTTTGAAAAGAACGTAGTGTTGTTCATATTGTGATTCACTTCTTTTGTACTGTAATATTATAACTAGTTTGTTTGTCCTCTTATTTTAGACTACTAGGCATTTATACCTATATCATAATGTCTACTTCTGGGCAATTGTATGATACGTTTATTGACTATTGTTGTATTAATAATGCTTAATAAGTATTGAAAAAAAAAAATTCATTTACTTATATGTATAAGTGTGTTATGGGTTAAGTATGGATCTCTATTTTTTTTACATCACTAGTCTTAGTGTGAGGTTTCTAAAGAAATGGATCCTAGTTACTGAATTTCCTAGAGAATTGAATCATTGCAATAGAATAAAAATAAATAAATTCGTGATTGCGGTATAACATTATTGTATCTTGTATATCAATCACAAAGGAATCTTACAATAGAATATATGTCTTCTACTTATATCATTTTTGAGTCAAAAGTACAAAGTTTTCTCAAAAATATTTCATTAAATAAAATTACAAAATACAAAGATACAACACCCCTTAGCATTTAATGGATTCACTGTGCAGGTGCCGGGTCCATCGTTGCAGGGAGAGAAGCTTCAACAGTGCCTAGGAATTGCAACCCAGGTGTAGGTTTAAGGGGCCCCTTTGATTTACTTGTAAATGAATTCTGTTTCCTAGCAGAAGAGAGGCGCGTGGGCAACCCCTGAGGTTTTAGTCGGTAGTGACTAGTGCGTCCTTTTCAGGACGAGAGTCCGACAAAACTCTCCTTATTTTCCTCCCCAGGCAATAGCTTCTGCCTGTTCTATTGTATATCTGTTTTTTATAAACGTGTAGGTAGTGTTAGAATGGAGACCGGGAAAACATAATTGTTTTTTCAAGTAAACTAAGCAAGGTACGCTTCGTTGTTTCATAGACGTGATGAAGGCCTTTTAAGTTTGTTTAAGATTTCTCTAGGTTACAAAAGTCAGAAATAAAAAAGGGAAAAGAAACGGTGTAAAGATTCAACTTTCTTCAACGCTGAGCAAAGAGAATATTACTGAAAACTATTTTTTTCTGACCTAGTGCAACGAATAACTAAGGGCCGCGTTTTTCAAGACTGTTTTTTAGAACGTTACAATTAGGTTTGATGATTTGAACATACCAAAGATCAACAAGCGGCCACCGATCCTTATGGTTCCACGATTATAAGCTGAGTTTCACCTATGTTAAGTGCCAGTACAGAGAATAATCAAGGGCAGACTTTACTCCTTGACTTCGCGACGGCTTTTGGAAACTGTACAGTTGGATATGAGCCTTGAATCATGTAAGGACCAATTAACGACCAGCGGTATAACGTTATTTCATGAACCCTTGCACATAAAACTCATGGACTGATACAAGATTCTTTACTTCAGATGACCCTAATATAGGGGAAAGATAAGAATGGAATAATATGAGGCGATCAGATCTCTCTAACTTATACGCTACTTCTTTTTCATTTCCATGTAGAACGTAATTCATTCTAAGACGAGGTTGTTCATATACTACGCTAAACTACGCTAGTCTGTACTATTATAGTGTATGTGTAAGCTTTAGTTATAGTAAGTAATTTTCAAAATATTAAGATTAAAACAATAGATAAATCAAACACGAATGTAGGTAAATTTTGTAGACCGATTATGAGTAGTGGATTACGACACAAGTAGAAATACTAAAAAAATACAATAGTCCAGTCAAAATAGTCAAAAATAAGTCATAACCCAGGAAAAAGTCTCAGGGAGCTCAAAATTGGTAGAGACATTAAATAAGTGATTAAAAATAAAATGTCAAAAGTTCCCATCAATCGCACTTTTGAAAAAAAAATTATCTAAAGTCCGTCCGTAAAATTTATACATCCTTTAGCACACACGAATAAATTTAATTACTTTATATTATTATTTTTTACACTAAATTTCAGATATTTTCAGTACTAGAAACTGTTGACACTGTATATGGTGACGTGTTAAGCACCGCGACCCATCGTGGCGCGTTCTTAGTCACTTGGTTGTTTTATGAATTGTATGAAATTGTAATATAATTGTTGAAATATAATCATTTAGAAGTTTGAAATAAATAAAAAAATCGACAACTTTTTTTTCAACAACCCAAGTAGTACAGTTAGCAGGAAAATGATTTAATTTTTTCTTAACAATTTAATTCTTCTTCTCCTACCTGGCAATTTCCCAGCTTTAGCCAGGGTATGCCTTACAGGTTGTGAATAATTTTGGCTAATTGTTTTTACGACCGGCCGCCTGCCTGACATCAACCCTCTTTGCGAATGCATTAATCAGTGATGTCTAAATACTCTTAGAAAGTAGGTACATATAGTACATAGTTACATATAAAAATCACGTTCGTACTTGCCAGAATTGAACCTTTTAACCAGTAGGCCACCACTTACTAACAATTTAATTATTTATATTAAAAAACTAGTTTTTGCCCGCGACTTCGTCCGCGTTAGTTTCGTCATTAGTAATATATGTTTAGCTGACCGGGCGAACTCTATTCCGTTTTAGAGGCCCTTAATAATCAGGCTTCTCCTGTTTCAATCGAACAGAATGATTGACATATTAGTTAGTTGTTAAATCTAATGTCAAAGAAATCGTTTGTATGGGAAATAGAAAAGGGCTGTTTTTATGGTTTTTCCAGTAATGAATCAATTTTTTTCAGCTTTTATACATTCCCTGAACCTCCACGAACATTTCAAGACTAAGTTAAGATAAATCCGTGCAGCTGTTCTCGAGTTTTAGCGAGACTAAGGAACAGCAATCCATTTTTATATATATAGATTAAATACGTTAAAAAAATAATATTTTAGGATTGACACAGTTAAGCGTTTACATTGTCATGTGTGTCTGTAGATGGCTTTTGCTTTCTTCTGGGTGTTTTCTTTTCGGCTTGAGTCGTTGGCGGTTCAGTGGGTGGTTCCGTAGGTGGTTCAGTAGCTGGTTCAGTAGCTGGTTCAGGAGTGGTTGTTGGAGCTTCTGAAGGTATTGTAGTAGAATCTGGAACAGCTGCGGGCGTCTCCGGGCTAGTTATTGGAGTCTCAGTGGTACTTGGTGGAGAGCTCTGGTCGTCTGATGGTGATGATTCTGTAGTTGTGTCCTCAAAAGTTGACTTCAGCTTTTGTTCTGGAGGTTCTGTTGATTCTGCTACAGTTATTGTAGTTTCAGTAGGAACAGCCGGTTTAAGTTTCAACTTTTCTGTTGTCAATAATTCTTTAATTGTTGTTGTTTCTGGTTGACTTTCCACCGTTGATGTACCACCGAGTATTTTTTTGACAACACTTAACGGTAACCAGTGGCCTGGTAACTTCGCTTCAATGGGGTTCGCAATGTATATTAATGTATCATTTTCTAGATTCGGCCATTTTGCAATTGTTTGACCAACAATCATTGTTAACATTACTTGAAACAACATTATTGCTCATGTGGTAAGAGTAGGCACTTTAAAAATGATCAAAAGAGGAATAACTTACTATGGATACATAATTCAACTTTATAATAGAATTTGAACTTTTGGAACTATTTTTCTACTTGCTGTTCATTGCATTTTAAAAATCGAAACTCAAGATTTTAAGCAATGTGAATGGTCGTAATGCTCATTCACTTTTATTTTATGCATCACATTTTCAATTAAAAATTTTAAATAAGCTGTGTATTCAATTTTAGTTTGTGAAATCAATAAATCTATAACGAAGCATATTGCCTTTTTGCAAAGATATAATTCAGTTTTACTGGAGGGGTGTGCATAATTAATCCTTATTTTTTCTAATGTTTTACTCGTGCTGTAATAACCACTGTTCTAAGATGTGAATAAGAATACATATGTATATGTTTATAACGTAAAGGATTTTATCATTGTATATGTAATTTGTCGGGTTAAGAGGCAATATTTTGCAAAAAAAATCATATAGCTTGTCGTACACAGTACTCTATAATGCGACAAATGCGATAGTACGAAAATGCTCAGTAAAATAATGTTGAAATTAACCTTAGTCCACTGTATAGATCGATGGAACGTTAAACCAATCTCATAATTACTCTTTTAGTTAACTATAACTGTATATCGGAAGTGCCATCCTCCACAGAACATCGGCATGAAGTAGTCTTTAATGGTTGTGTTTCCTCCGATCAGCGAGAGATCCGGTTGCCCTTCCCTATCTCCCACTCTTTCCTCTCCCGGGATGTTGAAGTGTATAGTTTACCATCGGTCCCTATTATACCTACCTTCTGTCCTACATGATCCTAAGATTATTTTAAGGTGTTAAGCGTGTTTCATTGGCATATGGTACAGGGAGAACATGCAAGGGCTAGTCGAATCAGGGACCCTTCTAACGCCACATAAAACTGGACTCCCAGTCAGACCAAGAGCAACGCTCTTCGATAAGATGATCATTAGACCATCATCATCCTTCAATAAAGTATAAAGTATTGACCTTCAGTTCAAATGCAGCAAAGCATCTCCACCATGCACGTAATAATAAAATCGTTTTTTTTAAACAGAAGTGTATAATGCTGTAGAATAAATTATGTTCATAAACACAAGGAATATAACATATTTTTTTTTTATAAATTTCTTGTATACGAAGTTGTGACTATATATTTTGATAAAAATTATAATAAAATTGTAAGGAATTATTTAAAATCATTTTTTTAACATGGCAGACTTGTAAAATTATATTATGTGTATAAAATTTTATTAAGAGTCTGAATGATAATAATCAAAGCAGAATAATATTTTATATTATACTACATGTAAGTTTATTGAAACTAAAATATCTTAATTATTTAAGTTTTCATGAGTGTCAGTAGCAGGTTTACTTGGTCGTTTTGGTCCTCTCTGAGTTGTTGTTGGTGGTTCCGTCGTCGTAGTTGTTGTAGCTTCAGTCGTTGTTGTGGTTGTTGGAGTTGTTGTTGTTGTGGGAGTTGTTGTTGTTGTTGGAGTTGTTGTTGTCGTCGCTTCTGTTGTGGTTGTAGTTTCTTCTGTGGTTGCTGGAGCCGCAGTAGTTGTAGCTTCCGTTGTAGTAGTTGTAGCTGGTTCTGGTGTTGTTACCGGTGTTGAAGCTGGTATAGTTGTGGCTTCTGTTGTTGTGGTTGTTTCTTCAGCCGTTGTAGGTTTTTCAGTTGTTGTTGTTGCTTCAGTTGTAGTTGTTGGTGCAACAGTTGTAGTTGTTGTTTCTTCGGTTGTAGTCGTTGTTGATTCTGTTACTTCGTAGTGTAATTTTTTGTGTGGTGAGCTAGATGGCGTAGTTCCCACTAGTATCGCTTTTACAACACTGAGAGGTATCCAATGGCCCGGCATGTTAGCTTCTATCGGGTTAGCTATGAAAACTAACGTGTCATTCTCTCGGTCTGGCCATTTGGCTGCTATTTTTATAATAATAGAAAATGTAATAAGTATTATTTTAATCATGACTGAAACCTGCAACACAAGAATAAATTATGGCGTAATATTTCCCTGAAAACATAATAGCATTCAGACTTAATATGAAAAATGTTGAAAATGTAATATTACTTACGTGTCTTAAAATTGTATGTATCAATGTAACTTGGACGGTTCATGATTTTTGTATTTTAATATAATGTTAAATTTGGGGAAACATCAAGAGAGGAATTAATTATTCATACATTTATAACTTGTTATGAGACTTACACATGAAATAGTATTGTTCTATTGCAATCAAAATAAAAAAGACGTTAAGAAAATAATCACTGAACCAAACATTTATTGTTCAATATCAGTTTTTTAATTAAAAATGTATATTGATTAGTTCGTACCATTTTTTTAAAGCTAAAATAATTTATAGCAGATCTTCAGTTTCTGTGTTTTTTACCAGTTCACTTAATATTATTAATGTTTTTTTTTGTAGACGAAGAAATTAATAAATAATCTGATTATATAGTCCATTCTAGAAATGATATCATGAAATAGCAAAATAGCATTAATCTTATTGAAATTAGCTTACAGTTTTTGGATCTGAATTTAATACAAGTATAATTTTTTTATCATTATTTATTCTAAATCTCTCCTGAGTATGAAATTATATAATCTATTAAACAGTATCAACGTATAGGAATTAAAAAATTGTTGAATTACGAGTACCATAATTAAGAAACGGTGGGAAGTTGTCAGGAAAATCTACTTTGTGATGGTATGTCCACTGTAACTTTCTAAAATTTAAGATAATAAAAACATATTTTATTTCATCGAACATAAAGGAAATAGGTACTATTATGTATTAGAATTAATATTAATGCATGGTTAAGATACTTAAACAGACATTAGTGAGCGGTGGGACGCTCGAAGCATCTAACAGTTCATCAAACACCTTAACAAGATATCTTATTTAACATTGTTTGGTGCAAATAGGTCTTAGGCTAGTTGCCGTCATCACGATACAAACTGAGAGTTGATAGTTTCTCACCTTTTCATCTACAAAAACCAGTGTTAAGGCAGTTATTGAATGGAAAACTTGTAACATTTCGAACGTTTGAAGATGCCAACAAGGACTAAGGGAGCTGATTAAAAAAATGTGTGAACAATATTGATAACCATTATGAAGCTTTTTTCGGATGCTTCAATTAATTTATGGGACATAACTATCAGATAATTTTACCTCGTTCTCTTTTAATTATCACGTGGGTAAATAAAATAAAACTAGTATTTTAAATAGATTTAATAGTAAAACAATGGGAATAATAACATTGATAAAATAATTAATCAGTCTTTAAATAAGTTCACCGGACGGGTTCGTCGGTGAAGGTATAATCCTTAAGAGATGTAAAATTGTCTTCAAAAGGAGGAAAAACACAGTCAAGATCTACGTAGAGTTGTTGTTGGACGGTCAGCTTGTCAACTATTTGGGCAAATGTAGGCCGGTCTTCTAATTTGTCCGACCAGCATTCGGTCATGAGCTGGTACAGACGTGGGGAGGCGCGGGCTGGCCTCGGAAGACGTCCTCCGTTTGACAAGAATTGCGGAACTTGGTGATTGCTTAATTCAGCATAAGGGAAACCACCTGAAATTTGAGGTATGAAAGAAGTTTTACTCTGTACAGGCCATGATATTTATATATTTTGAGGGACAACAACCAAAGAAAGTCTGGAAAAAAATTATATTAATTGTTCTTACCCAAAGTGGCTATCTCCCATAGAAGTACAGCGAATGCCCATACATCGCTGGCGCTGCAGTACTTCGAGCTATAGATCGCTTCTGGAGCCAGCCATCTCAATGGAACAGGTTTCAAGCGTGTGTGGACGTACACGCCAGATCTGGAGAGGCCGAAGTCAGCCACTTTAAGAACACCTGCCCCGTCCACCAAGATGTTACGGGCCGCTAGGTCCCTGAAATATGACATAGAAATTATTCAGACATTATTTGTCTATGCAGACGCTTAAGCTGAGCTGCGTGTTTTATAAAAGTAAATTGATATTTTACATTTACACGAGGAGACTATTGGATTATTAAAAGTCATAAGAGCAATGAAAATCGCTTTAATAACCGCTCTAGTATTACTACTCATAAATCTTAATATTATTACAAATAATAAAATGAATTGCTGTGTACGTAACAAAATCAATACATTGAATGTTCTCGTTACTAACATTTTATTGAGAAAATTTGTCAGGTTGTAGCTATTGATGGGTATGTATGAATATAAGTTGATTATAACGCAAAAAATTATGAATTTATTTTGATGAAATTCCTTAATAAGCAGTTTTGACATTGGATTAAAATGTAGGATATTTTTTATCCTAAAATTCCCGTGTAATTCCTCTAGGATCGCTGAATACTTTTATTTTCTTTGTAATTACGTGACACTAAACAAAGATGGCGTTGTCAGTTTGTTTTGAAATTCACATCTCTTAGAATATTTTATTTATGTTTCCCAGAACCCCAAATGACAAGTTAAGATGACACAGTCGTGGACAAATCCTTCTATATATCTTTAAGGATTTCAAAATATGTTATCGTTGAGTCTATGCCATTATAATGACGTCGAACTCATAATTAACTTAAATTAAACCAAGGACTTCATAACAAGCTCATCAAGGATTTAACAATTTTTATATCTAATTGCCTTATTTATTCCAAACTCACTACTTTATTAATAATATTTCTATTGAAAAATAATTAAAGATATCTGATATTCCAATTCAAAACCCTGTGACCTATAAATAATGATATGATGAATATAACTTTGAAGTACTTTTTATGTTACCTTCACCGCCGCGGAATTAATAAAGTTGTTCATATTAGTAAATGGTCTTAAAATATTTTGCCTCAATTATATTAATTAGCTGCGCACGAATATAAATCCTGTGAAGTAGGTATTATGACCCTTTTTCCTTTAAACAGTCTGAGGTCTGTAAGAAGGTTTGTGGATTTCCACCCTGTATTCAGTCACCTAGCAACGGTTGCTTGGAGACGCGTAACAAGCTGAATAGATCCACTTTTTTGGATGATTCCTTCGAGAACGTTCGAATGTGTTTGACCTCTTTTTATCTCGTTTAATGAATTAAATAGGCTAATTAAAACAATCCAAAAAATAATTACGCAATACGATAATATTCTGTGAAAATGATTTAATCATTTATCATTATGTTGCGGAAGCCATCATTCTGTTTTCTTTAAATATGATCTTAAAATAAAAAGTTGAAATAAAGAAGATACTTAATATTTTAATCGTATGGTTACTGTCGATTATAGTTTTTAGGTATAGTTGTGATATTGCTAGATAATTCTGTAGGCGCTGAAATAAAATTAAAATGTAATTTGAATAATTAATTATTATTGACATTCAAATGTTTTTTTTTTTAACTTAGACAGTTTTCCTTTTGCGTTGAAAAATTTACAGTAAACATTAGTTCGACTTTTTGAGAATACGATGGTAAATTCTAGGATTTTGTTTTCCCAGAACAAAGTTTGGAAGCTGTTTACATAGCTTTCGGAATACAAATAACAGATCTTTTATTTGTTAATTAATGATACTTGTTCATTTAGATATTTTTTTATTTGTTTTATCAATTACCATGATAGTTCATAAAAAATATGTTCATTATCACCTATTAACCAAGATAATAGCACCAAAACTGGCAAGAGTCAAAGAATATGATGTTTTTATTATAAAAAGTAATAGATTAAGTAACAAATTAATATAACTCACCTATGAATGATCCCTCTTTCTTCAAGATGTCTCATGCCCAACGCTACTTGTAAAGCATAGTCTCTCATTGTAGAACTATCAAGATGCAGTGCTGGTTCAGCTACGTAGTGATCTTTCGTTTTTTCTAAATCCGTTTCGGTATATAACTTGCCATCAGAATTCTCATAGTGTATGGGCGGGTCCGAATCACTAATATTTGTATATTCAGCTAAAATTAGGACACAAAAGACTTAACAACTTGAACAATAAAGCTTTATTTAGCAAGAAAATCAATTGTATAACGATATAATATTGTTGGTAAGGATTACGGTTGTCTACTCCTTATTTTTTTCTGTGGCTATATTTCGTTTACTAGATTAAAATTCGATTAAAACTTGTATGTTCATTATAAATAATTATAAAGAATAAATTTTCTAAAAATAGAGTACTTTATTATCTCATTGGGTCTAGGCTCAGAGCTATTTGAGTATAATTTTGATGGTACAATAAGATTAAGTAATTAGAAATTAATAAGAAAGAATCACAATGTTAGTTTTATTTGGTTGAAACATTTTCAAAGCTTGTATTAGGTATATTGTAAATGAAATAAAAAGGAACATAACGTATATGAGTATCAATTCGTCCTAATTTTATATGTTTTTTATTCAACATATAAATAATAGTATAAACTGTTGTATCGGAGATAACATATGAAAATATAGCTAAATAAAATAAACGTTACTTGTTTATCTTCTGAGTTAATGTTTCATTATAATAATTTGTTAATGTTAAAGGTTACGTAAACAATAGCAAACGAGGTCCAACATCTGGGTAAACCTTACATTACCAAGCTGATAATACTAAATTAATGATCTCAATGTTGTTATAATAAACATTCCTCCAAAAACGAACACAAATAAAATTCAGAGCGGAATATTATAACAATTATAAGCCTTGGAGATTGTATAAAACATTTATAAGTCATTCATTTAAAGTTTTAATGAGATAATTCATAGTGAAGTTACGAAATTTTTGATTAAACTTTGCAAATTAAACGTCAGAGTTTAGAAATCAAATAGAAAAGTAATACGTGAGACGCCTTGTCATTTTAAATTAAAACTTATATAAGTTATTGCTATAAGAAAGTTACAGGCGCTTATTTTATTTATATAATATTGGTAATGTGTCAACAAATAGTAGTTTGGATGTACATTAGATGTTAACTTACTATCAGCTTCTGATGGACGTCCATTTACTCCTGACTCCGAGTTTGACTCGTATGTTTTTCGTGTATCATATCTCTTGTTTCTTGCTGATCGGAGTAAAGTCAACAGATCTCCTCTAGGGGCGTGTTCCAGTAAGGCAATGAGGGGTGTCTGTCGTGTGCAACATGCTATAAGCCTTATAACGTGCTTATGATACCCCACATGCATTAGCATAGCGATCTCCCGAAGAAAATCCTGCATTTCTTCCTCTGTCGCGTTATCTAAGGAGTTTTGTTATGTTAAATATGAAAAACTCTTTGCTTCAATAACTTATCAGCATCCGTATAATTTATATTACAATTTTATTTATAGTTTTAATAAGCTTCCATTTTAGATAAGAACTGCTTTGAAAGAATCAAAATAAACCTGTTATCTAAAAAAAACATATTGCGCTTTAAAAAAATCTCGTTAAATTAGTAATATATAATGTATAATTATGTTTATACATAACATATTCTGCTATATTAATCGAATCACTGTATTTATTCAGGATTCGGCATTATTATAACTTAATTAACTTGATAACAGTGCTAAAGGTCTTTGAATTGTAATGAAAGGTCGCAGCCGGTTTGACTTTGATCATCTATTTTGCTGGTTTGATATGTAACAAACGGGACTTGAATTAATGATTACATGTTTTGTAGACTACTAGCCCGCCCTTCAGTACCAGACAATACAGTAACGCAAATAATATGTATGCTTTTAATATACAAATATGATAAAAACAATATAAATTAAATCTTATATTTATTCTTTACAAGTCAAGGACGATCAAATACTTCTCATTCATTAACCTTGTAATGATACCACATTTTATCCTAAAAATAACCACGTTAAAGTATATCATTGTAAAGGATTTTGGGTGAGTCTTTGTTTCTTAAATATTACATAATAATTTATCATTACCATTGTTTGTTGAAGTATTAACGTCAAGCTTTTTGGTTCAAGTTCTAATTCTTACAAAAAGAGACCGTAAAATAAAAATTCCAATGTAAGCGTTTGGTTGTCTTTTCAACGTTTCAAATGTTTTTTTTATATGACAAAAAAAAAATAGAGAAACATCTATTTTAGTAAAATATTTTCTTACTATCACACTTATGTGTTCTTAATACTCAACTCGTGAAAATCTTTTTATACCAGAGTTAATTGCTTTTGTTAGAGAAAATCCTTGGAGTAAACTACGTATATTTTAATGCCGCGGATTGAAAGGTTTATTTATTTCGTATCTATGGTATCTAGTGTACAATCTCTTACTATCGGTTGATTGAAAAGAATAATAAAATAGTTTAAACATCATCCTTAATTTTATTGTTGTTTAAGTAAAGTGATTTTACAGAAAAAACTAGTATTATATTGTGTCCGAAAACTAACTTATATCTTTTGATTGACATATTGCTCAAGCTTTTGTTCGAAAGAGTAGTTATCTTTCCAGGTTATTTTTAACTCTGAATCAAAATCAGTTAAGCATTTAGCAAAGAAACGATATGCTTGCGGTATGTATCCTAAATCTTAAATAATATCGTTAAAAATCAATACCAGTTATTTAGTAGTTTTTAGCGTTAGTTTAAAGTAGTCTATAATAGTAAAAAAAGAAATGTTATTTTACTTATACTTAGTAAAATTTCATAATGCAATGTCAAGTGAAATGACTCACTGTCACGGGTATATAGGATAAACAACTTTCATTTCCTGCTTTTACGTAAAGCTATTTATTGAATTGCAAATTCAATTAAGACTATGTCTAATATAGCAGTTTCTGAACCCTTGTTCGAAATTCCTGTGTGTGTGTGTATGTGTGTGTGTGTGTATGTGTAATTTTTTCTTGACAATATTCTCACCAGATAACATCTTAGCCGCTACTGTTAATGTCTCTCCTCCGGGCATGTCTAATAACGCAGCGTGTACTCTACCGAAGGCTCCGCTGCCGATCAAAGCTCCCAGATGAACCCGCGACCGGCTCACTTCCCATTCCTCACTATCATTTTTCTAGAATGTTATATATCCAGTCGTATAAACTATGAACGAATGAAATATATCTAACACGAGAACCTGCATTTTACATGAAAATTATCCTCTATTTATGGGGTATTTAGATCATAATAAAAGTTAAATTAATAATGAGGACATGTTAATAATGCATACATAATAAATGGGTTTAAAAAATTGAAGAAGAAAGTATTTTTAATCTACAAAGTCGTCCGTATTTGGTTAACATATAAAGAAATATAATTGGACCCCACATAAAAAAAACATGAGCGGATTCTTTTATATGTATATAAAATAGAGAATATTTATTTTTCATTAATGTTTAAAAATACTTTTACTAAGTAATTTAGGTTACGGTCTATGTTATAAAAACATCAAATTAATTGTATATTGGAATATACATATATAAAAAAATCAATTCTGAGTTTCAATTACCATTACCCAATTATTTTAAATATACCATACAATAGAATATCGGGATTTTTTCAATATTTTTATTATATGAGAATAATAATACTCATACATTCTCTTACCCAAATACTAACAACTTCATTCGTTAATATAACATAGTATTTACCTCAAATGTTTTATGTACATAGAGCGGACTTTCTTCTATTCGACCTCGCGTTACTTCGTCCCTGGAGAAAAGACAAAGTTTTATTAGTATTTCAATCAATGCAGTAAGTTATCTTAAGCAAAGGATCAAAGATTCTTTGAAACCTTCTGTTCTTCAAATAAACCTTTTACTTTTACTATAAATGTCATGTATATTGCCATTTATTTTTGATTTTAATTCTGTTCAATATTTCCTTTAGTTTTTACATATTATGTAATATTTGCAGTGGTTTTTCTTTACTGCTAATTTATTACATTATAATGACTTATTTAATTAGGGTTCCAACGAATTACCAATTTCCACCTGTACTTTTGACGTATTATACATATACAACAACATGATAGAACATCATGTTTTAAAGAAGTTTAAATAAAATTATTAAACATATTTTTATAAGCAAGTACAGTTAGAAAATGTTGCAATAGAGAATTGTGTAAATATTTGATTGCTAATTATTAGATCGTTATATGAAGTTTAATGAAGTAATTGCGAAGTATTTATAAGAGCATTGTAAATAATTTCAACATCGACGATGGATTGAGTGGCCATCAATAGTGAGGTTAAATTTCGTTAATTCAATCGATAATCGATATACGATTTCGATAATATCTAATTTCACAAATTCTCAAGTCTCAAAACTATTTTCGTTATTGGAAACTAATTAATAGTAATTATAACTGTTATATATTGCTTCATTAATCGATGTTAACGACTTGGTTCATGGAGTAGGTGGATACGGAATCAGCTTACTAATTAAGTACATTCAGTATTGCTCTATATTTAATGTACACTCATATGAAATAGGGTTATAAATATAATTTGGACGCCGAATTAAGTTCAGCTTATTTTTGTTGAAATATTTTGAAGTAGGTATAAGTGTTTATAGTTTTACAATCAGGAGATGGTAAATAGTTCTGGTTTTACCTTTACTTCGTTATATATTCAATTGAAAAGAAACAAAATATATTATTTAACCCCTTTACTTGTATGTATTTTATCTCAAATGTAGTTAAGGTTTATCTTTTAATGTAAAACTAATTAATTTCATTACCTTTCCTTGGACTATTTCAAAACTATTCAATAGTAGCCCTTTCTTGCCGGTGACGTAAAATTTCATCATGTGTGTACTTATAGTAATGAACATATGAATCTTAGAATTTAAAATTACTATTTAGAGACAATTTTCAGTGATAGTCGATTTTTATCAGTTGAAATTTTAAAAAATATAATATATTCCGCTTTTACAAGCAGAATAAATGTACATTAAGCATAAAATTATCTTAAAGATTGTAAATTAATGCTCAAATTCTGTGTAATTTGCGTATTTTTCTCAAATTATACTTGAAATTAATCGTTATATTCGCCATCGAATTTAATTACTTATATACACCATCTGCCGTTTCTGTTTTAATTGGTGTTAATTACTTGAACGAGATCGAAATTATCATTGGCATCTAACCTACTTTCGCAAAAGGTGGTGATGAGTTGTATTCTTTATGCCATACAAGTAAAATTGCTTCAACAATCCGCATCTAGATCTGTCCCATTCACTTGCCCTTTGACTTGATATTGCAAATGTTATGTCCAAGTTGTGAGCGAATGTTGTATTATTAAAAAGAATCTTACATTTCTTAATATAAAATACTATAAAAAGAAAAAAATACACAAAATTATAATATAAATAAAGGAGGTTTTCTACTGTATATATCCCGTACCTTTTTAAGGTAAACAAAACGTACAAGAAAATTCCACAAATTGTCTTTAGTAAACAAAAGAAAGAAAGTTATATTTGCTGCCTTGTTTACATTACAATGATATAAATAACAATTTCACTAAATAAACAACTGTTTTATTCGATAACTTATAACTTGTACTATAAGTAAACTAAGCGTATTGCCGGACTGTGTGTCTGTGAAGTATTTTGCACGTTCTTGATGACCCCGATCCCACAATGGAGAATCATAGATGGAGCTACTGTTTCGCAAAAGCTCCGTGCCTTACTCACTGTGTTTATAAATCGTTACCAAATTTATATAATATTTAATAAGCGTAGTTTAAATTGACTTAGTTTTGGTCTAGAATACAGAGGTTTAGAAAGGAGGGTAAAAGAAGCAATATAATTAAAAAAAAAATAGTTACAATTATTAATAATTTCATTTGTTCAGCTGTAGTTTTAAGGAGTTTAAGGCATTTAGACGATTAGATCATATATAAACGTAAAGACTTCCTAACTTCTAAACCATTTCTGTAAATAAATTTTTAGTCCTGTATGCTTATTGCAAGTTTGCCTCACGCATTTCCATTTTCTGTTTCCTGTTTGTTACTCAATAACTTACATTAATATTATATGTTTCGTTAATACTAAAAATATTTATGAAGGAAATTGTACATATTGTGACGATGCAAAAAAGGATAAGACTTACAGAGTCAAACATTAGAACGTTTCTTCTAATTTTACTTTTTGTTTGAATCATTAGATTGCTTAAATTGTATTGTTTTTTCTATATTCATTTCGATGGACGTAAAAAATGTCATGAAATAGAAAATATCTCATATATAAAAGAATATGACTTTAAAATCTTTTGATTACGATATGGAAGTGTTCTTGAAATTACTCTTGTTACTAAATAATATATAAATAGTTTTTATTAATAATGTGTGGGACTGCGAAAATAGCTCAGAGAATGGGTCTGCCGAAGTTGACGACCTATTCACGTTTCGCAATTAATGATATTGATATATATTAAAAGGGATAGTTTTAAATATATATATATGTAGTATTTTCATGTAACTATTGGACTGGTACGCCTTCCACACAATTTATTTCAATTTGTGTAGTTATTTAGATACTTGCATTTGTTGTAATATTTTTAGGACATCGGTGAATACGTTATTAAGGAAATTCTTTAACTAATAGTTATAACTACATATTGTTTCAATGTCATCAGATATATTTTTTAAATAAAATTTGAGTTGTACTAATTAATTATCAACCATACTGTAGGGTATACTTTTATTTAATCAAATAGAGTGTTATAATTGATAATGGCTGAACTGAATTCTATACGAGTGGGTGTAAATTGTTGCGGGGTGAAAGAGTTTCAAATGAAATCCATCAATCTATACTAGGCGGATACGAGATAAATGCATTTTACTTTCATTTTGCCTTTCCTTAGTCATAAAGTTTTACGGCAAGGTAGATAATGTGTAGTTTACAGTCCTGTACATTTTCACAGAAATATTGAGCGTATTGTGCTACAAATATCCAAAATCACTTTCTTCCACATATATTGTATTCATAGGATTAATTGGATAATTTTTTGTCTACATTTAATTATAAATTCCAGAACAAATCTTACCTAAACCTATTTTTTTCTAGATTGCAAATATTTATTATCTTTTGACGTAATTACATACATATTTTCATTGTGAGCGCTTCTTACATTATTTTTAAAGTAAGCAATGATAAATCAAAATACCATGCCAACAGGCAACAGTATAGTAACTCGAGTACAAATTATTAAAACAAATAAAAGGACATCTAAAAATTAACATGAAAGTGTTAAAATTTTTATTCTAATACTGAGTTTGTTGCAACTTTTACACTACCATGTAAACGGATAGTGAATCACTGGTCTAGCATCAATTGCCTAATATTTCTTTGAAACCAGCAGGCAGCAACGTAAACATTAATTTTGTTACAGCACCGACCGTCCTTGATAATAAAACGATTCTTTTCAACTGTTTATATCATAAATTGAATTAGCATCCAGAATTGTAGATTTTTTTTAACATTTTCTGCAAATAGGTCAAGTTTGAATTTAGATTTGAATAAAAAATATCGGAATAAGTTAAAATAATTTAACATTTTCTTTCAATATTTTGTTTGTATGTGTTTTACACTACATTTTATTAGTGTTCCGATCAATTTAAGTCACCGTCATGACTGGTTTCGATACTTTCTCAACCGGACTTGATGAGACATGTTGTTTTTTACATTCGAATACCCATCGAGTGCAAGTGAACTGTGACGTAATGTTTGTTTAGTTAAAATGACTACCAAAATTTTGTTTTAATGCTATGATTGCTTCTGATCTTGTTATTATGATTCCCGCTAATGAACCAAATGATTATGCTTCTTACTATAATTCTTTTATCCGTTAAATTGATCACTAACTAATAAAATGTAGTGTAAAACACATATATTTTTACGCCATCACTGCTTTTTGAATTGGACCTTAAGTAGACGAAGATGCTAAACTCATATGCAAGTAAATCACTATAAAAACATTATACAGAAATTATCTTGAACGTCAATTAATCGATGTTTGTAATCACGAAGCGAATGTTATAAATGGCTTAAATATTGATGGAATTGACACACCTCGCCCGTCACGAATTTGACTCAGAATGTCCTTTATGCGTGCGGTGAAACTTAAGTCCACTTTCTTGTGAGTCAACTTTACGTAATAACAGAATTTATGTTATACGAAAACAATGTAGGTAACTTACGTAATGTATATCCTGTTCCGCGGTGATTACAGACTTAAATTTTATCGAGACAAGATTTATTTGTAAGTAGCTGTAAGTCTCACTGGCTCTTTATATGCATTAATATTTAATACCAAGTCGGATAGTATAATGTTTTTTAATAAATATTATTTGTAACTACATTTTGTTACGTAATTTTATAATTTTATGGATGATGTTTGAGAAAATATTACAATTACTGATTCGAGGTTCTATGAGATAGAAAAAATAAAAAAAATCTGAAGTTGTACTAAAAATCTCCTAAACTAATAAAATAAATTCAAATTATTCTCACTTTTATTGATTTACGTAAAGTGTACCATTGTATCGGTAGTGAGGTTTTCAATTAATATGTTTTGCTTTACTCTATAAGTCGAGCTCATCATACCGAAGTGGGCTAGGTCAAGCTTAGCAACATTCTATCTAGATTCTAAACCCAACATGGAATAGGTCTTGAGACGACTTCGAGAGGAAATAGAAGATGAGTTTATTAAGGTTCTAACTAATTATACACATGTTAATATATTTAGATAAAAAATTGTTAGTTTGTTTCGTCTATATACTTTCTCTATCAAGCCTAGTTTTTCTATCAAATCTAATAAATTAATAAATTAAACAAAAGAAAAATTCTTTCTCGGAAGTCAAACAATGGAAACTTCACGGAAATATCTTAAACAATACACACTAGAGACATAATAGTTATCTTTTACGCTTATTTAGAACGCTTATTATCAGAAATAATAACAAGTTGTATATACGAAATGAATTTTGAATATTTTAATCATACATACATATTAAATTATAACGGTTTCTTTCTAATTAATTCGTCTTTAAGTATGCAATGTAATAAGAGAAATTTAGTTCTGCATTCTTAAGAGAGATTTTTTTAACATTAACAAAATATAAATTTCAAATTTATGTGAGGAAGGAAACTTTTTCGCAGGATTTCATTAATTTTACAAAGAATTGAATAGTAAAGAGTAAGTAACTAATGATAATAAATAATTATTAAATAAATACATAAACGTAATTGCTATAGAAGTTTTCTTCTATTTTTGTTCATCAAAATGTCTTTTTATTGTTAGAACGATTTGGAAAAATAATTATGACCGCATAAGCATATATACCGTTGTTTTAAAACGAATTCCTTCATTGTAATATTTCACGCATTTATTTTAAATACGGTTGCGTATCAAAACATTTCTGAATCATCATATTCTGAAGTATTCTCAGTAGCTATAGTAAATATAGAGAAATGAATATCGACAGGGTCAATGATCTCGGAAGCTGCGCGAGTGAAAATCTAACAATGCATACGATGGTAACCTGTTCTTGCATATATTACATTATTTATTACACGTACATAAAGATACTGAAGTATCATTGTTTATTTACTCTAAGTTTTATGGACCATTTAATTTGACGCGAATGTTATTCTACGAAAAAAACGTTTTCAGGTGCGGGCAGTTGAAAAAAGTTAAAAAGGGGCAATTAGTGCCATAAAGCCTTTTATATAAAATGATAAAATTAAAACCGCCCCCTGGCAGAGACGTTTGATAGAATTATGAAAATAAGCCAACGTAATTTTTTTGCAGTATCTTTTGACAGTTTAATTAATATTTTTTTGGCCTTATGACAATTTTAAGCTCGGTGAAATATAAAAATCATTTAAGTCTATTACGTATAAATATAATATTAAGAAATAATTGTATTTTTTGTGCCATTCTTCAAGTTTTGTCCAGTATTGATTGATCGTCTCACAATAATGAGTTTTTTGTAACCAATACCTCGCTATTAGCAAGCCTGCCATTACCAACGATTGCCCATTATCCGCTTGAAGTGGGTTTGTTAATATGATTTATTAAAGGCAAAGAAAAATTCAAGTAATTTTCTTAAGCAACACAAAACATACCTTTACCTAATTCCTTTCATAGTTATTTTTTTTGTGTTTTAGACATATATTAATAGTTTTTAGGTAATTATTATTAGAACTTATTTTATTTACTTGAACTTGAGTTATGTCACTATTGATAATTTACGTTTAGCATTTAACAATAGACTTTTGTTGTAAATTTCGAGAAGAAAAAAAATATATCTATCAATAATCTATATATAAGAAAACCTCATTGTTCCTTTTACCTTTATAATATGACAATAGATTACTTTTACGGATTCATTAGATAATTTAACATCAGCGAATGGTATATATATGAGCCTCATATATTTTATTCAATATTATATTTGTAATTGTCAAAAACATTTCAATTTATATAGAAATATATGAAGGAATCTTGTTGTGATGTTAGAATAAAATCAATTACGTATGTAGTTACTCATTTATAAGAAATTTTATATTCAATGTAACAATTATCCAGTAAGGGGTTGAATAAATATATTTTTGTGAAGTCCATTATTGTTTGTATCATATGCGTTAGCCTTCATTACAATTGGATATGATTATATGGTCTCTAGTAAGAATTTCATTTAGAGCTGATAGGTTCAAAGTCGTGTTTGATTTAAAATAAAATTTTCTTTTACAGATTTTACATGTCAGTTAAATATTTGTTTATACTTTGACCGAATCCTGGTAATGTTTATTATTGTTTTTAAGTAATTGTACCTTTTAATTACATAAGAAATTTCAATAATGTTTCTCATAGATCAAGTATTACAATTCGAGGCAAAGATGTGGACATAAAAATAAAACATATATGTATATAGGTTTAAGATATTCAGAAACAGATAGTGGTATTTAAAAAAATGTATTATTCAGTTTTATGTTCAAACAATAAGATTTATTTCGTCATAACATTTAAACTCCGTTAATTGAGTACAAACGGTTATATCACATAGTATCCGATGCGCAAGCGCAGCTGATATGTAAATTGAGCAATTAATATAAAACAAACAACAAAACTCGTTCCTCTTACGTAACCAAACCTAAATGATTTCATACAAATTTGAACCTTCAATCAAATATAGTTAGGGTTGACGTAACAGTTTTTTGAGTAAATCTTAAACAGGTTCAATTTTAGCTGAGAGTGAGAGTGGTATGTGCTTTCCCTGTGTATGCAAAAGTCATACCATTATTAGCCTTATTTTTAAAGAGCATAAGATACATTTTACTTAGTATATATATGTATATGTAAATATTACCAAACAAGCGACGTGCGTTACAGTAATGGAATATTATTTTGGTGCTATAAATGTTTATTAATAAGAAATTATATTAAAAATTTAAGTGGCTTTTAACAAATTAATTAAGTGAGCGTCACTATTTCATGTTTACCATTATATATACTACAGCTTAATCTTCTATGTTTTCATCGTAATTTTTAAAATCTTCTTTAGAAGAAGCTTATGAAATATTTTTTTTTGTGTATTTTAAAGGTATCCAAATATTGTTTTAGCGTTTATTAAATTATGGTCTTTCGTTTGTCATAATTTTATTGACATTAAGTACTGATTAAGGATGTAAATAGTTGAATTTAATTGTCAGTTTGAATAAAAGTCTTATACTATTTAATACTAGTCATCTGCAGGGAGATTAACCAATTTACAGTAAATATGTATATAGATTGTACTGTATACTTGTATACTTTTTATTAATAATTCCTACCTCCCGACTATTTGTATGAGGTTTTATATTCGACCTGGTAATGTAGAATAAGTGCATCAAAGTAATGTTATACATACATTCATAAGTAATCAATAAAACTACAAGTCACTATGGTTAATGCATGTAGGCGTAATGGAGGTTCAACAAAGATAGATAAGATCATCAGAAAAAATGCATTACAAAACTATTTTTATGAGCTTAGATACTATTAAAGATTGCTATTGCCAAAGTGAATCTATCTATAAATCTCATTCCGTTAAAAACATAGTCAAATAAAGATAATTTTATGTGTTTCTTAATTAAATTATCATTTGTAATGATATCACAATTACTTTATACAGTCATTTCCCCTTTCATTGCGATCTGTATCATCAAGAATACGAGAGATTACAATCACCACCGATATTATTATGTGAATAAATGATTATCGGACTTTATTATGGATATGAGAAAAACTACACAATCATATACGTACTGTGGAATCAATTACATCCATTTGGAACGCGAGAAAATTGTACATGCTAAGGATGTTGCGCAAAACGATTTATTACGTTAGAACAAGCGTTCATAATTTAGTTACAATTGTTACAATATCATATAAAAATAATGTGGAAGTGTCTGAGTGGATTTTTTTGTGTTAATTATAAAATTTTGCGTTGCGTAAACAGTGTGGAAAGATAACTTTGCATCTTAGTATCATACGTAATGGATTTAAAACATTTGTACACGTACAATTACGTTCTGTAATTACTTTATATAGATTGTAATCGAATTGATGATAAAGTATGTTTTTACGAGTACTTTCCGATATAGATATAAAGATTCACAATAGTCTCTTTGACGATTTTCTCCTAAGTAATTATAAGTTATTGTGAAAATATTACTTTTACTGACATAGTGTATTAAATGAGCTTTGATTTAAAGTCATATAATTATGTTAAAAGCCAAGATTAATTACGTTATCATATTAAATGTTCCGAATGAATAGAGATATAACTTTCCAAATATACGATCGGTAATTTAATTTTCCAAAATGTCAAGTTTTACGCAATACTTTGCGTAAATGGTGCTTTTATGTAATGGGAATAACTCTTACTAGGTATGTTTTGTAAGTAACATCTTTATATTATGCGAGTGATGTCACCCAGTCGTTACGTAATATCAGTGAAAAGTACACTTTCTATATAATATGAATTGTGATGTTAATGTCGTGAGATGGGCTCGGTTTATGTGATTTCCCACTTAGTGTTCGATCATCGTTTACTTTTTTGTTATACACACACCTTTTTTCTGCGATTTCTCTTTGATTTTTAGATCCATGTATATAGAGAGAGCAATGAAAGATTCATGTTCGTTTGTTTATCGATTTTTTATGCAAAATGATTTATAATACAACTATAATTAGCATTAAAATTACTATTTACATAAATACATTTAGGCACCGTAATTTTTTTTCTCTACTTAAAACTAGTTCTGTCGCCGCGGAGCAGGTATCACAAGTTAGCACTCGGTGTGCGGTTTAGTATGGGCCGGAGTGACCGGGGGGGCCGTAGGAGGAGCTGACTCCGGAGCCGGAGCCGTGTCCTCCAGAGATGATGCCACCACCGATGCCGCTGGAGCCTCCGTGACCGCCGATGCCGCCGCCGATGCTGCCTCCGGAGATACCACCGCCGATGCTGCCACCAGACAGACCGCCGCCAGAGATGCCACCGATGCTACCACCTCCGATACCGCCTCCGATACCACCTCCGATACCACCTCCAATACCACCACCTTCCTTCTGGGTCTTGTACTTGATGAAGTATACTTCGGGTTTTGAGGGTTGGGTTGGGGCAGCAGTGGGGATGGTGATGTCGGGTTGTTCGTCGGGTTTCTTGACCAGGACGTAGACGAGGGTCTTCTCCTCGTTTTGAGCTTGAGCGGGGATGATGGGAGCGACGGGTGCGGGAGGTGCTGGGGCCTTGATGAAGATGATCTTGTAGTGCTTCTGGGGGATGGCTCCACCGCTGATCACTTGTGGGCGTTGTTCTTCAGGTTCTGGGGGTGGTACGTGGACGTAGATGTGTTTCTGGACGATAGCACCGCCTCCGAAACCACCTCCGAATCCACCGCCGCCAGCTCCGAAACCACCGCCGCCAGCTCCGAATCCACCACCGGATGAGAATCCACCGCCTGATGAGAATCCACCGCCGATTCCGCCGCCGATGCCACCGCCGAGGCCGCCACCGATTCCACCGAAGGAGCTGGAGCTCAGACCTCCAGAGGAGAACCCACCGTGTCCGCCTCCGAGGCCACCTCCGATGCCACCGCCGATGCCACCGATTCCGTGGCCACCACCACCTCCGGGCGCATTGTAGGAGTACCCGGCTTCAGGTCTTGCGGAGCCGATAGCCGCGACGGCTGCTAATACCTTTAATAAAAACAAAACATTAAATTCCAAAATTGGTCCCAATTTTCTCGACCGTGTGTGATAGAACTGTAATATTTTAAATTATTCAGGATAAAAATGATTCCGATATATAATCACTGAATCTTCCTGAATGTGTATGAGCGGTCACTGAATCACATAAGGAAGCACGACAGCTGGGTCACACGGGTCACGACACTTTCACTTCACGTATACCTACCAAGAAGGCTTTCATGTTGTCTCGAGGAGGTCTCGTGGTTGTGTGATGCTCTGTACCTCACTCTCGAGCCTTTTATACAGACGAGCCGTCGACGCCTCTCTCCCTAACTCTTCCTAACATTCGGCCTTCAGGCCATATGAGAATTATAATTTTAATGACACCCGACCGAATTCATCTTCGGTGAAAACAATGTGTGTCCACTGTCAACAAACACTTTCACGGTTATCGATAAATCACATATGTTCTATACGAAATTAATTTACTTATTTTATTGCCAATGACATTGCTTGTCCCCTTCAAAAGCAAATATTATTCCAGTCGGAGAAACTATCGCAAGTTTGCTTGTATATACTATGAAGAATATCAAGTATTCTAATATTTTCGATGTAAATTTTATATTACAATTCAGAATTAAAATATCATTCATATTAATTTTGATATGATTTTGTAAGTTAAAGAAACTTCGTTAGAATAATTTGTTAAATTAATTAATTTAAAAAGCCGTATCTTGTTAGAGATTTTGTGTATCAAAAACTTACTCAATTACTTACTTGATATACCATACATATTTTTTTATGAGACTTATTACAACTTTTCTTTCTATTAGTTTCATATTAATATCATTATAATATAGAAACATATTAATACAGAAACAAATAGTATTTTGACCCTAAAAGCTTAACAAATACAAATAAAATCATGAAAAGGTCAATTAACATACTGCCAACGTCTGACCGCTATGACATACGTTCAGTGTCAAACAACCATTAATAATCGATTTGAGATCATTATTTCATGTACATCACTATTAATACGATTTTAAAGGCTTAAGTTTCACGAACTTACACCTTAACATCATTGTAAATTATTCAATTGATTACAATTATTATTTTTATTTAAATAAATTTTATTCGTACGAAATTGAAGGTTTTCACCTAACATAAATAATATTTTATTTACATTATATAACATGCGATAGTGAAATTAACCTTTGGCAGTAAAAAGTTCGGTTCACAAAATATATTTCTTAGAATTTGACGTTCGTTGCTAGGAGCACTTTCACTGGTGGCATAAGAACCGAATGAATATAGAAGAAGGTTTTTTATTCTGTCTGGCTTATTTTAAGAGGTTTTTCTTGAAATTTTCCAATAAAATCAGTAAACTCATAGTGTTTATATGTGATCACACAAAGCTGTAGTTCTTGAAATCTCAATGAAAAAGAATAGGTAGATAATAATAATCAAAGATATGAAATTATATATATATTAAGCTAGGCTTAAACACGAGAATTGTAAAGAGACCTTTGACTTCTCTAGCTAATTAAAACACGTAAAAGAACTTGTCAAAAGCATACTTTACTCATACATGTACATCAATAGTATAATTTGAAAAGTATATACATACATACATACCAAACCCATCTTTATATAGCATTAAAGTTAAACGATTTCTTTCAATACAAAAACTTTATTTGATGGAAACGTATCTAAAGAGTTTATCAAATAATTTATTATAAATTGTACATTTTATATAGATTAAACTGTTATATTTGTTATCATAATTTAATGAAAATGTAAATAATATTTTTATGTATAACTTTAACGTAATGACGTAATGTTTAAAACATTAAGAAATCCCTCAGAGCAGTAAATTTTAATTAATCTTTTTCAATCACATATTTTCGTTGACGCTTTCTTTTTAAATAAACCAATATTATTGTAAACTGAAACCAGTTGCTTGATTAAAATGTACAATTAATCGAAGAATAAAATGAAATCCTCAATGCAAAGTTGTTTACATTAAAACATATGAGGATCAATATTATAAAGGTACTAGCTGACCCGGCAGACCTCGTACTGCCTCAATAAAAAATAAGGGTTGATCTCAGAGGGGTGAAAATTTAGGGTTATATGTATTTTTGTACGTTGTATCATAAAAAAATAGTAATTAAAAATTTTGTCTAAAAAATAAAAAATAAAAATTTAGGGGTGGACTACCCCTAACATTTAGGGGGATGAAAAATAGATGTTGGCCGATTCTCATAGCTACCGAATAAGCACAAAAAATTTCATCAAAATCGGTCAGGTTGTTTCGGAGGAGTATGGGCACGAAAACTGTGACACGAGAATTTTATATATTAGATTTTATTTGTGGAGTTAAATACGCCATAGTTATTCATTAGTAAGTAAAAGAATTTTGTATTTTAATGTGTCCATTACATTAAGTATTCATAAAAGTAGATTTATATCTAAAAAAAAATTATCTTAATTCAAGTATAGATGCACCCACAAATAGAAAGTAATGCATGCATAGAGATAGTCGAATTGCAAAAAGCAATTGCGTTAGGATCCAATCCGAGCACATTAGTTTAAGGCCGTCACTCCAGTGAGGCTATAAATAATAACAGTTCTATCAAACACTCCCATTTACTTACAATCGCGTCTACAAGACTCAATCGGATATCTTATAAACTCTTGTGATAGTACAGAAATGTTTATTTGTGGTTATGCGATTATTATATTTGTCGCATTTTTTATAATTTCGAAAAATTTTAACATTCCCGAAATATTAGTTAATTAGAACATAATCAAAAAATTAAATTCGAGGGTGCTTGAAATCTGCTTAAGTGAAAAATTATGTTAAGATATGGTTTAATCTCCATAATTATATTATTAAGAAACGTATAACATACGAAATATATATGCAATATATTTATAAAATATATTTATAAATTTTTACAAAATGTAAAAAAAATATTTAATAAGTGTAAATAAGATTCTTGTAAAAAATCCTAATAAATCTAGTAAATCTACAATCTCTGTCTCAGGTTCTATGATAATTAAAAAAGGAGGTTGTATTTCACAAAAGTTTAACATCTTCATTGCAATTTTAAACGCTTTAAACATTGATAATAATTGCTAATTTTTATTTCATTTCATAATCAAACCTATTCAAAGATGTACGTAAGAATGACCAAAAAGTATAATTTCAACAAATAATTATAACATTATAAATTTTATTGTTAAATGTTCAACTCTCAATGGACCAAGAGCTTTAGGATGGACAGATCGTGCGTAAACTTTCCTTTCGCTTAAAGGACGAGACTGGCATAGAATCCGTAACTAATACATTTACGAAACGCTTAGATCATGTATCTGGTATTGGTAGACCGCATTTTATATGAAATAAATAGACCAAGGAAACTAGAACGAATAGAGTTAGTTCAATCCTTAGTTCAATCAACAATTAATATGACGGTGGCATTACTGTTATATAAATGGCCGTGAATTTTGTGTTAAGGCAATGAAATTGACAACAATTATAACAATTATTTATCAATAAATAAAATATTCACACAAGTAATGGCCGTTGCTTCAGCGCGGATAAAATTTTGCAATCATCTCCGTAACTCCTTTCTTTTCTAACGATGATTACAGACATTTTGAAATCTTCATGTTTAAGTTATAAAGCCATTGGTTGGGTCAGATTTTATCGCTGTTATTGTGAGATATAATTTGTTTTATACATGGCTTGTTTTAATCTCGATTACCAAACATCCTGAGCAAAGAATACGAGGTAATTCGGGTCACTTTCTGCAAGCGCATTAGAATTTCATTAGTATATTCGAAATAAGACGTAGGATATGATTTTGTTTCATGTGATATTTGAAAGTACAACTTACAATATACAAGAAGTACTGTGTTTGATAGTTAGATGAAATGTCACTGATATACATGAGTTATTATAATTAATTATTTTATTATCCATTTATGTCATAACGAACATTTCAATTAGATAAAACACCTCATTATGCCTACCTTTCATTTAAAACATGTTTATCATTTTAAACAATGACGTCTAAAAAGACGTAATAGCTATTTACATTCTTGTGATATAAAAAATATATAAATTATTTCATATTAGAGTAACATTTATATATATTTTTTAGTAATAGTGAAGGAATAATAATTTAATAAAATATTTATTGAACAATCTAACCCAGTCGTTGTAAGGTTTCTTTTTGATATGACAGTTCCCGTATGTTTTTTCACCTGACAAATATTTATTTCATGAATATTATATCTGTTCGGATTATATATTCTGTATTCGGTAACCCAAAGACCCGGACGGGAGGGTCCGACCCCGCCTTTTCCATATTCGTTCACGTTCTGTTATATGCATAAACATATCTTTATTACGCAAATTAATTGCACAATTGTGTTAAATGATTCTCTTTGTACACAGAATTATCCCGGATAAAAGGGTATCAAATACTATGAATATAAAAATGTTGAAGCTTTTATATATGGATCTTTGAATGTATAATATAAGAAATTATGCATGTGTTACTTTAAAGCACTATAAGTAAGCAGAGAAACATATGAAAAAATACCTTAAAATAAATAATTATTAAATACAGCATGATCTATAAATAATATATGAAAGAGAGCTACTTTGTAACAATGACTTAATTAGAATTTATATTGTTCCCATTTACATTTTAACTTCGACTTTTCAAATATAATGGAATAAAAGTGCATAGTGACTATAATGCAAACGAGTTTGATATTCAAAAATGAGAGAAAAGTTATTTTATTTATAAATAATAAAGTCAGTAGTTTTGAACCGATAATATAATCGCTCGAATTCTACAAAAAATATTTTCACATAACGTTTCTATGGTATAAATATTCAAACAAACATTTATATGTAGCTTGGATTAAAAAGATTTTTTTATTATATTACCAATTGTTCAAACTCGATGTAAATAGAAAACAATGCAATCAGACTTAAACATTATATATACAATACTTTTCATATGTTATGTTTTTTTTGTCATAAAAAAAATGACCAATAATTGCTGGTAGTATCCAAAATGATTTGGTCGTATTGTAACGATTATTATAATTCTTTAATCCGACGAGTTAAAGACGTTCACCAACCAGATTATGTCACATGGAATCTTTTGTCTATTAATGTATTGCAAATCAGGTGCTACCGTAATGCTGGTTGTA